GTTGCCTCAATATGAGGATGATTGTTTTGGATGATGTGAATAGTCTAGCAAAGGAATAGGCAGCCCTCTGAAATCACCCCCAGGGATATTCACACAGAGTGGGGGAAGATATTCCATCAGGAACAATAATCCAAAAAAAAAAAAAAAATGGAAGACTAAAATCTTTGAGCCCTCATGGTGCTTAGAACTGTACAATTGTAAGGAATTGTATGAAGAAAAGAAAAATTGGGCATAGGAGTAGTGACTGAGAGATAGCTGGCATGGAAGGACAGGTTGTGAAGGGGGGAAGAAAGAAGTCGAACAAGGTCAGGAAGCGTCCTGATTTTACTCCGGATTTCCTATTTGATCTCTTCATCCCTGAATGCTTAGGTTGCTTCCAGCTCTAATAAATCTTTCTGAACCACCATCCTTTACTAGCAGGATGTAAAAACAATTAGGAACTGAAAACTGAGCCTAGGGATAGAAAAATATAAACTGCTCCAGTTCTGGGCTCATGATATTGTAGACTACCCAAGGTCAAGGACCTTGTCTTCTACCTCTTCTCCGCCCTACACCCAGTGTCTAACCCAGCGCTTCTCTCACGGTACTAGTGCATAAAATGACTGCAGGTGATGTCAGGGAAGGCAGATCACACCAGGGGTCCTTCCCTGAAGCAGTTTCTCAGTCTGCTCCTCTGTTTCTAAGATGGCAGACCCTGCTCACGGCCACTGCCTGTTCTTTGCAGTCTGTGACTGGGTCAGTACCTGCCTCCCTGCAGAAGAAGCCCCCTGTGCCCACATAACCATGGGACTTGCTCACGCATCTTGCAACTGAGGAGTCCTGGCCCACGGACCTCCCACATACCCTGATAAATGGCCCCGTTTGTATTCTTGCAGCTCTTAATCTCACTAACACAGTGAATTAAACTTACCTTCTCCAAAGTACTCATCTGTGGGAAGAAATAACCCCCTTTAAAAAAAAAAAAATGCCACTGATTCAGAATTCACTTCCTTTCGCTTCCAGTCATGGTATATGGGGATGTCTGAATGCATAGGGCAGGTTGATAATGCCTTTGGGTTATTGGCTTGTTAAAGGACATCTCATCACAAAGCAAAATTGTGCAGTTGATTTGGGACTCCCGTTTTCATACATTTTGTCAGAGAAAATATTGTAGTCCTTTAGCCTGTATTTTTCCTTTAATCCTTTCTGAATGTGTCTTCAGCATCTTTCCCGTGACACCCAGGCCATCTTTTCAGCACCCCCTCGGTCTTTCATTCCTTCCTCATACCTTCCTTCTCCTTCCTCTTCTGTTCCTCCCTCAGGTGTTTCTCCCTGTCCCTCCTCTCTCTTCCTCTCCCTCTCAGCAGTTTGTCTTCCTGGCAGCCAGCAAAGAAGAATAAAACATTTGTTGCCTTCTGCCCCTTTCGATGCAGCATGGAATCAGAATTTGACATTGCAACTGGACCCGGAGATGCCAGGGAAAGCATGTGACCCTGCAGTTTCCTAGATCTCTAGGCATTTAGCAACCTCGATTTGTTCACCCAGTATTGAAAGCAGTAACAAAAATTACATCTCAATCACCTTCAGTGAGCTTAAGATGGGGAACAGTTTCAAAGTCTTCTTCCCATTTCTTAGCAAAGACAACTGAGAGAATGCATGCTTTGTAGTAAGACCATGAACACTCTGAAAAGTTAGCTTCAGGGTCCAGATCCTTGACCTCAGCGCACCTGACTGAGCACTGTTCTCCAAAGAGGGTGTCTTTTGAGATGCAGGCTCCCCAAGGATCTCTGCATGAGAGGAGCACAGTAAGCTTTGTTGACCAAGTGGCCACTTCGAAGACCCAGATAATTGCACATGGGTGACAAGAGTGAGCTGAGAAGAGCACGGGTGGTGCCTTGTAACTTTGCTGCTCAGTGCGTGGGTCCCAGAGCAGCAGCATGGAGATCCTTGGGCACTGGTTAGAAATGCAGAACCCCAGGCCCCACTCTAGACCTACTGAATCAGAATCTATGGATTTTTTAGATCCCAGAGGAATTTATATGCAAATAAAAATCTGAGAAGCACTTACTTTATAGTACAAACTTGACAAAATTCATTCTCTCACTTAACCAGGTAGTATTATTGTAACGATCCCCATTTCACACGAAACACTCTTCCTTCCTCCCTTTTTTGCTGTCATATAAGTATCCCATAAAAACAACATCACACATAGTGAAAATACATTCCCACAATCCAGAGGGTGGCTGTGTCATCCAGTAATTTCTACACAAAAGATCCAGGATCTGCCCTACTCATACAGATGCAGAGAATTACTCAGGGTCCCAGCGCATTGGCCTCCATCTTCTTTGAGGTGACCCCGTCCATTTGCACAGGCCAACACTTCTAAGTTGACTGGCTTCTACAAACCTGCCTTATTAGGGGCTTTAAGACATGTGTCCAGTGTGTACCATGGAGCATGATATGGATCTATCTCATTCTCTGCAAGGAAAGGGGCTCAGTGACCGTGCCTGAGGCTCCTGCTGGACCTACTGCAGGTGGCTCTTTTGTTTGGTCAGATTTAATTACTTGTGGCAAATGCACTGTAGCACATTTTGAAAAAATCATGGCATCTTAGGAGTAGGGAGGCAGCCTTTTGATCCTGCCATACTTATTCATTACAGAAAAGGTATAGTGAATTTGGGACGTTGTTTTGTGTGATTGATTTCACTGTTGTTTAATCCTTAAAAATACTTAGATTGGTCAACCAACATCATTTCAATAAGTGAGGCCATTTTTATCTTTATAGACTTCCTGAAATAAGTGATCTTAAAATCTTTTTCAACTATGAGATTCTGTTAAGTCTGAGAGAAATAAGGAAAAAGGGATGAGAAGATGTTTCTCTCCCTCTAATAAATCTTGAGGAATTAGGATATGAACTAGCCTGAATGATTAAATGTCTGCTGCGCTGGAGGCCTTGTGACCAGCACCACTAACCTGAGATCCTGGTGAATAGGGCCCTACCCCAGCCCCAGGGGCGCCATGCTCTGGAGTGTCTTGCTTGACATTTTCTAAGTCCTCCTCTGGTGCCTGGGAGCAGCCTAGGCCAGCAATACCACTAAGGAGAGATACTCAGAGTCTAGACTGGGAGTGTGTGCCCTGTCCTGGGGCCATTGTTCCCCTACAGGGTGGGGTGCGTTTCCAACCTCTACTGTCAGCCATTCTTCACATGGGTTCAACCAGATTCCCCAAGATCACCAAACTCACACCTGTGGGCTTATTCTGGGACCCGGTCCACAGGTCCAGGTTCTAGGAGGGTGGTAAAGGATTGCTCCTCCTGACAGTGCAAGATTTCTTTCATGTAACTGCATGAGATTGGGCTACCAGAATGGTGCTGATGTTGGATGACTCTGCTTGATCATATAGAGAGGGACCTCTTGAAAAATATTTTGCCAGGGGACCCATACCTGCTTGGGATGTACTGAAGTAACTGATGGCAGAGCCTGGGTGGTTGGGACTTGGAGTGGGGGGTGGAGGCAGGGAAGGCAACAGGAGCTGAAAAGCAGTTGGTCTGAGGAAATGGGCAGGACTGGTGGAAACTCCCCAAGGGTTAGACTTGGAGCAAGGTCAGGATGCTAAAGCACCTGCCTCCCTACCCCTGCCCATCACCCTACCCCTCATCTTCCTGCTATTCCACATCCATGGTTGACCTAGACTTAGTTGACTGAACACCCATTGGATAGGAATATGTTTATATGGGAGTGTGAGGAAAGTTATAATGAGTTTCTATCTTTCTGAAAACTAGTTTCACTCTAATGCTTGGAGCACAAAAAAGAATCAGGCAGCAGACCTACAAGAAAGGCAAATGACTGTATTTCGTCCCTGGCCTTTGTGTTGGCTGGGTTTTCACAGGAGCCTGGTGCTTTGACAGAACTGGAAACATTTGGGGTTCAAGACAGAGCGTCCGTTCTCTTTGCACTGAACCACAGGGAGGGGGATGAGGGATAAGAGAGAAGAGCCAGATTGTTGTAAGACACATAATGGTGATTGCAAACAATGTACATTCTGTGACCATACAATATTTTGGATCATGAATTCCAAGCTTCATAAGTGTCTAGGAACAAAGTCTCCAGAATGTCCCACAGAGTTGGGTATTAAATCCACAAGGCTGTTCTAGTAACCATGGGTCCATCATTTGGGGCTACCACATTTATCTTACATTGGCAATCATTTATTGAGCACCACATGCATAGTGGTTACAAAATGCTTCCACATTCATTCTTTCTCCAGTTCATCTTCTCCAGGACGGTTTGAAACTGAATCAACTGCTTGGCATCTATCTGTATTAAACTATTAAATGGTCACTTATTTATTCTACAAGTAGTTAGTAGTTTGTGTTCCATATCCAAAGGAATATTTTTTATTTGGAAGAGAGAGGTGGGGGGCAGAGGGAGAGGGAGAGAGAAACTCAAGCAGGCTCCACACCCAGCATGGAGTCCAACTAGGGGCTCAATCTCATGACCCTGAGATCATGACCTGAGGCAAAATCAAGAGCCAGATGCTTAACAGGCTGAGCCACCCAGGCACCCCACAAAGGGATTTCTACATAATGAGAAATTAAGATGTCCATGCTAACATAGTTAGCTAAAGTTATTCCCACATTTTTTTATTATATTATCGATCATTACAATTCTCTTTAAAACATCAAAGTTTAGTAATGTGCTGGGATTTTTCACACGTGTTCTCTTAGTTAATCCTCGTCGTAATCATATTTGAAAAATAATGAAAATCTTTTCTTTTCAAATGGCCTGAAAGTTAAAGTGAGTTGGACAAAAACACAATGACCCAAGACTCCAGCAGAGAATTTCTTTCTCCAAATGCCATACTATTTGGTCAACATGATATCTTACAATCTTTGACTCGATGTTCAAACCTCATTTTTACAGTTTTTTGTATTTCTTCCCCTCCAAGCTCATGATGTGAATATAGTTCTGTCCCTGGTTTCACGGTTTCTTGATTGTTTCTATCTCTTTCTTTCCTCCCAGAAGGCCAGGGCTTTGTGAGTGAGGATGAATACCTGGAAATCTCTGACATCAAACGTGACCAGTCTGGGGAATATGAATGCAGCGCCTTGAATGATGTGGCTGCACCTGATGTGCGGAAAGTAAAAATCACTGTAAACTGTGAGTTGACCCATTGTCAGGAAGTTTCAGAGGAAGGGAGAATATAGGGACTGAGGGAACAAGCTGGTCATGGCAATGCCATTTTCTGACCATCCCAAACTGTTTCCAACAGGAAAATACTGTGTCACATTGCTTTGCACCATGACTGTCTCCAGTGCCATTTTGCCCCTGGAATCTACCTGTGCCCGTCAAAGTTTTAGCTAATGGGGAGAATTGTTAACTTTGAATTGGTTTGAAGCCTTAAGAAGATGCTGGGGTAAATGCAATTATCCTCGAGCAAGAAATTCTTTTCCCAAAATAAATGGTTATTTAACTGGGAAGGTGGGGTGGCACAAGAAATCCATTTGCACAGCAGGTGACTAAATGTGCCTTTCATTTGTTTCGTGAAATCACTCTGCATTTTCCTCCCGCAGACCCTCCCTATATCTCAAAAGCCAAGAACACTGGTGCGTCTGTTGGTCAGAAGGGTATCTTGAGCTGTGAAGCTTCTGCAGTGCCTATGGCTGAATTTCAGTGGTTCAAGGAAGATACCAGGTACCTTAAAAATGAAAATAGGGCATATCTGAAGCAGAGCTGATGGATCATTCCCCACATGGAAAAGGAATGATAAAGTAAAGGGGAAAGATGTGGCAAAACCAAAATGCATTTGTCCCCTTTATAATAGAGTCTCTTTTTAGAACCAGAAACAAACAAACAAACAAATCAAGGAAGCTGGCAAGTGGGAAAATGACCTGGTTTCAGAATCTGAGATTAGTTGTAGACATGGCAGCCCTCAATGACTAGAAGCCAGTGAATCTCACCTTTGGAGCATGAACATCCTTTCCTTTTTCCTCCTCTGGAGGCTGTGGTACACATGTTTTGGGTTAAAGAGACTGGGTCAGTTCGAGGAAAGGTGTCTGTGAGCAGGGCTTCCTTGTAGGATTCATCTCTGGTCTCTTTCAGTTCCCCCTAGCATCTCTGTCTGCTATTTCACTTTATTTGTAGAACCAGACCAGCAATACCTTCTCTTATTGCAGGCTAGCCACTGGCCTGGGCGGCGTGAGGATTGAGAACAAAGGCCACATATCCACTCTGACTTTCTTCAATGTTTCAGAAAAGGATTATGGGAACTATACTTGTGTGGCCACAAATAAGCTTGGGAACACCAACGCCAGCATCACACTGTATGGTGAGTGCAGGAAGCCTGGATGCAGTGGGCTTGGCCACGAGGGAGAACTGCGGGGCTGTAGAGGGAGGAAGGCTCAATCTGCTTGGCCTGTGTCCATCCATACTGCTCAACCCACCACCCTAGATACGAAGTGCTTCTCCCGGTCATTCTCCTAAGCATGTGATACATGATGTTTGCAAGGTAATTGATTATCTCCTGGTCCACTGAAAGGCAAGGTTTGCACCTTACAAAAGGAGTAAACCCAATTCTGAACCAAGTTGAATGGTGGTTGCCATAAAAAACACAGAACCATGGAACAGTTCAATTGTAGTATCTAACAGTCTGCGGGGGTAAGTTAGATACAATTTTAAGATACCTTCTATAGGAAGAGTCTATAATTCTGGAGGTTATATTCATAGATTTGAACCAAGTCAACTGCTGCCATCATGATTCTCATGTTGACTGCCATGTCATATTCTCACTCATTGGAGTGGATGGAGCAGTAGTCTGAGTCCTCATCAAGACAACTGTTCTGTCCACAGCTGGAGCATCAAACCCTTCTCTGAAGGCCTTTTCCTCCCATATGGATGGAGAGGTCTCCAGATTCCTGACTGGCTCCACTGGAAGCCCTTATCTTTCCCTCACTCAGCCTTCCCACTTTGCTGTGTCCATCTCCTTGTGCCACATTTCACATCATGGGCCAGGGTCAGCCTGTTGTGATATTTTGTGTGTGTATGTATTTGTTTATTTGCTGAGATTTGGTTAGAGGTGAGTGAGGGATGAAAAGGTATTCATTTTCCCATGTGTATCTCAGACCCTGAACAAGTTTTCAGCGTTGACATTAACTAAACTTTGTCCACCAACCATCTGAAATGTGTGATCTATGTCTTTTGTTTTCTCTCTGCATTGTGTGTGCATTGTGCTGTGTGTGTCTTAGAAATAAGCCCCTCATCAGCAGTGGCAGGTGGGTACAGCATGTTCCTTCCTTCCTCTGCCTGCCTGAATGCCTATGCTTTTGAATTTAAGCCCACTTCAAAGATTGCCTGCTCCACCTCCCTGACTTATTTATCTTTAGTAGATAGATCTCAGGGGGTTTGGTTTGCACAGGTTAGGTAACAAGCATGTAGAATATGATGACTTTCACATACACACATCGTTATATATTTTGAGGGGAAGGGGTTTCCCCCCCGAAGCAATATACTTCGACTTGGTGGCCTGTAAAATAGAGGAGTGTTCTGCTATTTCTGCACATAGCAGCACCAAGAGGAACCCAGCCCAGACACGAAATGGATTATCAAGTGATTGTCTCCATGGGGAAGTCACCTTAGTATGAATGTTTTATTCTTTTAGCTCAGGGCAAAAAGCGATAATGACTTAATTCTATAAACTTCACTTTAAAATAGAAGTACTTGGGGTCATTATTCATCATATAGTAATAATATCTACCATTTACCAAATATTTACTGGTTTCTAGGCATTTTGTTAGTACTGTGCAAAACAGGTTATTAACTCCATTTTAAAGACAAGTACAAGGAAGACCAGCGAGGTTAAGTAACACTGAAGTACGCGTACCAGTGAGTAGGTGCTGGATGAAACCCAGATTTGGCCCTCCATTAGATCCTGGATAAACAGAGAGCGATGGACACATGCGCACACACACACTCGCGCACAGTTAGATGAAGCAGCAGCAGGTGCCTCGCTGTGCTTCCAGAGGCAGCGGCCTCACAGCCCTAGTTCCCTATGTTCAATCTCAGTCACATACAAAGTGATAACATTTGAATTTTCCAGACCCGGAATCAGCTCTGTAACTGTCACTTTTCTATAGCTCTGGATCTAGGAGAATCACGGGCAACTAGTGCTACCCAAGCCTTGAGGTCTATGACCGTCCATCTCTTGGTTTTGATAAAACTGAGGGGAAAGAGCGGGGTGGGTGTGATGCTCTGAGCCTAACCCTGCCATCACCCTCTGAGTGGGGTCACCAGGGGTATTGAATATGGCGAAGAGAGTGAACCTAGGACTGATAACCAGATAATCTAGGTTCTTGTGCTTCCCTCCCTCCGATGAGAGAGGTGTGTCATAGCAGATAACAACAGCAAATGTATGCACAACTGTACTAGCCTGTTAGGGCTGCCCTAACAAACTATCACTGGCTGGGGGGCTTAAACAATGGAAATGTATTTCCTCACAATTGTGGAGGCCAGGAGTCCAGGATCAAGGCAGGAAGATCCATCCTCTGTTTTTGATGAGTGCTCTCTTCCTGGCGTGTAGACAACTGCTTTGTCCTCACGAGGGCTTTCTTTTGAGTGTGTGGAGTGTGTGGAGTGATACAGACAGAAAGCGCAGAGGTGGGAGGAGAAAGACAGGGATCTCTGGCATGGCTTCTTCTTAGGACCCAAATACTATGGAATCAGGGCCCTACCATTATAACCTCATGTAACCTTAATTACTTCCTGATAGGCCCCATCTCCAAATACACATTGGGGGTTAGGTCTTCAACATATGAATGTGGGGAGATACAGTCCTGTCCACAGGGAAGACATAGCTTCATATCCCAATTCAGCCAGCCACATGCCAGCCACTTCATCTTCCTGAGCCTTACTTTCATCATGGGTGCTCTTGGGCTATCATCAATACCTTCTTTAAAAGGCTAGTGAGAGGACTGTGTGAGTCTTACAGAGAGAGAGCCCAGCAGATGCCATGTTTAGATGCATGACTTCAAAAACATGCCAAGTCTACAGGCCTCAGTTTACCCAGCTAAAATGGGGATGGTATTAAATAAATAAATAAATAAATAAATAAATAAATAAATAAATAAAATGAGGATGCTATTTCTTGGCCTGCTGCCTCTCATTGTGAATTGTCCATAAGATAATATTTACCACAGAGGCGTGACAAACTGAAACTTGTATAAATGCAAGGTATTGCAGTCACTTCCCTGCTTGCCAACACCTGTGATGCAGCCCCTCTTATTACTGCTTCCCTTGGTATGGCTGCCAAGATTGTTGCTCAACTGGACTGTGCGTTCCTTTCTTCCAGAGTCTCTTATGCCCTTTACTACAGCATCTGTAATCCCCATAATCCACATATCCTGCTTCACCTGGTTAGTACCCACTCACCTCCCATCATCCCTTCCTGAGAGATGCCTTCCCTGACCTCTGTGAGTGGGCCAGTCCTCCACTGCACACTCTCGTATAACGCTTCGGAAGGCCACTTGCACCACAGTGCACTTGCTAGCATTCGTTCAGCAAGTACGCGCCAGTACTTGCCACAAGTAGGGCACTGTTCTCAGTGACGAGGACACAGGAGTGCACAGCAGCTATATTCCTTGTCCCTAGAGCCTTCCCTGGCTAGTTGCAATTTTACTTCTGTTTCATTTATTTAGTTTGCTTGATTAAAGTCTTTCCTCCCTTTTCGCCTGTATGCTCCCTAAACAAAGGGACCATGTCTGGTTTGATTCTTAGAACCTAGCACAGAGATCCACACACAGTGGTGGGTCAGAAAAATCTTGTTGAATGAGTGAACATGTATATACAGAGATTGGAGAGCCATGTTGGTGATGCCAGCAGCAAGAATTCAACTGTCAAGGATGAAATATGGCAGCATGGAGTAGGGTCTATAGACTCAGAGCCTCTTTGAAGCCAGGTTGTGCTGCTCACTGGCTGAGTGGCTCTGGGAAAGTCGATCTCAGTGTGCCTTATTTTTTTCATCAGTGCAGGTATTTTAGAAAACATGTCCTGTAATTGTCTGACACTATGCCTGAATGGAAATAGCTTAACAAAAGATCAGAGTGACATTGTCCAGTAGACCAGCCCTTTCTGTTGGCCATGAGTGTTCCTTCCAGTCCTCAATATTCCCATAATTATGGCTAACTAGTGTTACCAGGCTTACTGGTAACTTACTATGTGCAGAGCCACTAGACTAAGTGTTCTACATGTTTTATCTCATTTAATGATTTGGGGCACCTGGGTGGCTCAGTCGGTTAAGCGTCTGCCTTTGGCTCAGGTCATGATCCCAGGGTCCTGGGATCGAGCCCCGCATCGGGCTCCCTGCTCAGCGGGAGGCCTGCTTCTCCCTCTCCCTCTGCCTGCCTCTCTGCCTACTTGTGCTCTCTCTCTGTCTCTCTGTCAAATAAATAAATAAAATCTTTAAAAAATTTTTTATCTCATTTAATGATTCTAGGAAGTAAGTAGTATATTTATCCCGATTTTACAGAGGATGAAATTGAGACATTAGGCACGTTACTCAACTCATAGTGGCTTACAAATGCTTGAGCTGAGATTTAAAACTATGTACTCTGGTTCCAGTGTCTGAGCTCTTTCTCCTACTTCGATCCCACTCACCATACTTGGCAACCCATCATGGACATTGGTGGATGCCCTTCCAGATGGAAACCCATATCAACAATTAGCCTGCTTGGACCCATTTCCCATACCAGCATATCCCCTGTTCCAACTAAATCTGAACCCATTCTGCAGTAAACATAGGGGTGCATTTTTTTTTTTTTGAAATAGTGTTTTCACTTTTGTTGGGCAAAAACCCAGTAGTGGAATTAATGGATCATATGGTAATTCTATTTTTAATTTCTTGAGGAACCTCCATACTGTTTTCTACAGTGGCTGCACCAATTTGCATTCCCACCAACAGTGCATGAGGATTCCTTCAAATAATTTAAAAAGCAAAAAATAAATCTGAACCCATTCTTTTAAAGGACGTTTTTTTACGTTTACAACCCATACACACATACTTCCCAAATATACACCTCCCCTCCACCCCACATTCCAGGCATACATTGGTGTTTGCCCTCAAAGACTATACGATTGTTTCTGGAGACCCTTTTGACTCTGCACTGTGACCCCATCACAACACATACTCATAATAGGGCTCTCACACAAACACATCTTTATCTATTTCCTACCTACATGCAAAGAACAAGGGGAAGTGGGATGAAAGCAGTTTCAAAAGAACACATAAGACAAAGCCCGTGAGACAGTGGGTTGGTGAGCGAGCTGAAGCAGGAAGTGATGGGGCAGGTGGTGAGAGTGAACACAGGTGGGTGGGCGACATGCAGAGACAAATCAGTGGTTGGCACTGACATGAGGTGTTTCTTCCCTGCACGCCAGTTGCGGCCCCTTCAAAAGCCACACTGACAGGATAGGTCAGGCAGGCAGAGTGCAACTCAAAGTGGCATTTTAGACTGCCTGTATGTTCCTTAGTGCAGGGCAACTGCAGGTCCTGGAAAGACAACACAACATTGAGAGGCCAACAGCAAGGAAAATGGTGTTCTGGTCCCGACCCCAGTTCAAACAAACTGATGCTCTCTGTTCTGTTCCCTGGTTGTCTGTTGAATGTAAGAACAGAACAAGATGGACTCTCAGCTGAGTTCCAGCTAAGTGTTCTAAATTTAAGCAACAGTGGAGAAACAGTATTAAAGGTAGGTCTCCAAAACCTATCATCCATAAACTTGGAAATGGTGGCAACTAAAATGCTTTTTCTATGGAAAAGCAAACTGCTCTAAGTATAAGTAAGTTTTACTGAGTGGAGGCAGCCTTTTGCAGGCCCCCCTGGAGTGCTAGCACCTTGAAGTCTTGCCAGGCCTGTGTGCAGCAGAGGGAAGGCCAGGCTCAGCCTGCTGGCCCCAGGTCTGCCCCCTCCCCCCGCTCCCCCTAGGAAGCCACTCACTTCTCTCAGCTTGTCAACCCACTTTGCCTCCCCTGGGTCCTGAGCAAGAGGCCCCATCCCCCTGTCCTTAGAGTGCAGAGAGCGAAGATTCTGAACTTGATTACATCCGGCACTGCAGAGAGTGTGATGTGCTTAATGAGCCATATAAACGCTTGGATTACTGGAACTGGCAGGGGAGAGGGACAGAGGGCGCAAACAATGCCAGAAAGGAGGGGGGGCTGCTGCAGAGAGAAAAACAGATTTCTCACATTTTATCTGTGAAATCGTAGCAACACAAATTAGTTA